CACTCTTTAGTGCAACAACCCATAACAGGCTTAGCTTCCTTGAATGAAATAGGAGTGCGGCTGTAGTTGTGTACGCTAGCAGTAAGGATGTAACAATTCCCAGTCATCTTGTTACGGTATTTGAGACACCTTCGAGTAGTCACAATTTGAAGATTTTGAGACACTGATTTATGACAAAGCTTACGGTAGGTTGACTAAGGTAAGGGCGGGTCACAACATTGTGAAGTTGCGTTTCAATGAGGTGTAGTAAGCAAACCAGTCCAGATTGCACACCACCGTGATCAACCGCAATAAGCGAGTGTAACGAAAATTCCTTCTCCGTATTTTACGTCCCTGCTCGGCGCGTACACCACTGTTCCCAGCACCCAACAGTAAACCGTTACCACTCGCATCGACACTGTTCCCGCCAATGTTCCCATCACGACCCGACCTCACGGTTCTGTTGGTAACCCGCGCTCCGGACCTCCGCCTCGACATTTTCCCAACCTCGGCGTCAGGCCCGTCGCGCACCCCAATTTCCACACATTTCCGCTACCACTATAGTTTCACTATATATTCTTCGCTCATGCCTTCGCTCATTGTACTCTTGCTTCGATAGTGCAATTGTCGTTCGATCACTCAATTGCACTCGTAACAGTGAGAAACCCGGGTCCTTTGGCCGGGAAACAACAATATAGAGCAAACAATTAAGATGGAGGATGCCAAATAATAACAAGTTTACTGGATGTCGAGCTACAACGCGGGGACAATGCCGAGACAATGCCATAGCACACCTTTATTCCTTCTCTACCTACCAGTCCTGAAATGGTGTGCTATAGTGTGCCAACAACACCATAAAAAGCCTACTATAATCCAGGCATTCAGGAGTTGTTCTTGGAGCAGCGCAGCTTCTGGTGCGAAGCCCAGTACCCCGACTGGCACTTGCATATGGGCACGTACGCCTGTGTTTTGAGCAGCTGAGCCACATCCAACACGCACACGCCCTTGCCGCTACACGCCCCCGTGGCCGTGGCCGTCCCACAGAACTTGTTGCACTCCTGCGTGCTCTTCTGGCCTGCGGTGCCCCCGCACTTGGAGGGGACGGAGGAGAGGCAGTTGCCCGTGACGGAGAAGTCGTCGGAGCAGGGAAGGGAGGAGGCTGAGCCGGAGAAGTAGTTGTCCGCCGCGTTGACTTTCTTGACCCGCTGCAGGAAGGCCGGGAGGGGGCCTGAGAGGTAGTTGCTGGACAGGTCGCTGTGGGGGCGGGGAGTGGGGGGGTGTTGGAAAGGAGCTAGTGAGGAACTAAAATGGGAAAAGAGGCAGGAGTTGGGATGCTGTGAGTCGACTCAAAAGGAACTAAAAAGGGAAAAAAAGGCAGGAGGTGGGATGGGGCCCGAGAGGTAGTCGCTAGAGAGGTCTCTGGTTGGGTGGGGAGTGAGGGGTGGAGAGCAAGGAGAAGGAGAGGGTGAAGAGACGAATGTGGGGTCCAGAGAGGTTGGAAGCAGAGAATTGGGATGCAGAGCGGTGGGATGAGAGAGTGCATTCAACCGCAGGTGCAAGCACGAGTTGCAAGGCATGATAGGGAGTGAAGAGGAGGGAGCAGGCAAGCAGGCAGCAGAGGGGGGGAGTCCCTATCAGGCAAGCAGAGGCATACATCTCTTGTTTTTTGAGAATGTTTTGAGAATTCTCGCATATGGGGGAGGGAAATATGTTGCAGCACGTGTTTTTTGAGAATTCTCAAAAAACACGGGCCGGGAGTCCCTATCAGGCAAGCAGAGGCATACATCTCTGTGAGTTGCTTGAGGCCGCTCAGGTCAGGCAGAGGGCCGTAATACCATCCGTTCTGGAGGTACCTGGAGACATGCAGTCATGCAGACATGCAGTCATGCAGCCATGCAGTCATGCAGCCATGCAGTCATGCAGCCATGCAGTCATGCAGCCATCCAGTCATGCAGACATGCAGTCATGCAGCCATCCAGTCATGCAGACATGCAGTCATGCAGCCATGCAGCCATGCAGTCATGCAGACATGCAGTCATGCAGCCATACAGTCATGCAGACATGCAGACATGCAGCCATCCAGTCATGCAGACATGCAGTCATGCAGCCATGCAGTCATGCAGCCATGCAGTCATGCAGCCATGCAGTCATGCAGACATGCAGTCATGCAGCCATCCAGTCATGCAGACATGCAGTCATGCAGCCATCCAGTCATGCAGACATGCAGTCATGCAGCCATCCAGTCATGCAGATGAGTGGAAGGGAGATGGTGAGTGTTGCGAGGAAAGGGCAAGGTGGGGTGGGGTGGGGTGGGGTAATTGCAGCATGGTTACCAGTTAATGGTCAAGGCGAAACAGTACTAATCCCTCCTCCCTATTTCCCCCTCCCTGCCTTTTTTCTGCACCCCTCTGCCCCTTCCTTGTCCCCTTAAAAGCCTCACAGCTCGATGAGCTTCGCCCTTCACCCCTCCCCCTTTTTTCCCCACTATCAACACTGCCCCTCCCTTCCCCCCCTCAGCCTCACAGCTCTTTGAGCTTCGCCAGTCCGCTGAGCGCCTTGGGCACCTGCCCGTACAGCCGCGTGTCAGACAGAGAGCTGCACAGGAGGAAGGGGGGGGGAGGAAGGAGGAAAGATGCGAGAGGACAATGAGAAGGCGGTGAGTGAGTGGGCACCTTCCCGTACAGCCGCGTGTCGGACAGGGATCTGGGGGGGGCGAGAGAGGCGGGAGAGGGACGAGGTGAGAGGGAAGTAAGAGAGTGGTGAGAGGGCAGACGGGTGACACACAGGGAGCGGGGAGGAGGGGGAGAGGGGGAGCTTACAGGAGTGTGAGCTTACAGGAGTGTGAGCTTACAGGAGTGTGAGCTTGGAGGGGTGTGAGCTTGGAGGCGTGTGAGCTTACAGGTATGTGAGCTGGCTCAGTGTTCCCAGGAATGCTGGAATCTCGCCCTCCAGAGCCGTCTCCCTCAACCCGCTGGTAGGGCAGTATTGGGGGTGCGGGGAAAAGGGGGGATGGATCGGGAAAAGAGGTTCAGGACGTGGCAGAGATTTGAGCCCGGAGGGGGAGGACGGCGAGGGAAAGGGGAGGGAGGGATGGTGGGACAAGAAGGAGGGAGGGAGCAGGGAAGAAAAGAGCTGTGACATGGGCGGTAGTTGTTTAATCTTTTACTGTTACAATAGATGCTGTGAGTCAGAGTATTGGCTAGAAGAGGGGCAGAGTGGGCGAGGGAGAAAGAGAGGGTGGTGAGTGAGTGTGCGCGAGACTCACAGGTACTTGAGCTTCTTGAGTTTGGACAGCGCCTTGGGAATGGGACCCTCCCAGTAGTTCTTGCTCACCACGCTGTGAGAGGGGACCGGGAGGACGGAGGAGGGATGGGCGTGAGTTATTGTGTGGGATTGTGTGAGGGAGTGTGTGTGTGCAGCAGAAAGGAGTGGGGGGAGGGGATGCGATAGTGTGTAAAGGGGCATTGCGCTCACTGCGCGCACTGCGCTCACAGGTACTCTTCACATATGATCCGCGCGTGATATGTCGAGGTTTGAGTCGACTCAAAACTCGACTTGTCACTCAAGGGGCACTCCGTTCACTGCATTCACTGCGCTCACTGCATTCACTGCGCTCACTGCATTCACTGCGCTCACAGCTACTCTTCTCAGGCGCGTGACGCTCACAGCGTTGGGGGGGGGAATGAGCGGCACTCACAGCTGCTCCTGTCTACGTGCAGCGCACTCACAGCTGCTCCTGTCTATGTGCAGCGCAGTCAAGCGCAGTCATTCCTCTCTGGGTCATACTCACAGCTGCTCCAGGTTGGTGAAAGAGCCAATGAAGTCTGGAAGCGGCCCGTTGAAGCGGTTGTTGCGCAGATAGCTGGAGGGTGGGAAGATGGGGAGGGATGGTGGATGAGAGGGTTGGGGGAGAGGGAATGGGAGATGATGGAGGGGGCAGGCACCCGGGTAGAGGGGAGAGGAGAAGGATGGGATGGGATGGGGGATGAAAGAACAAGAATCTCAAGGAAACATTTTTTTTTAGTTGAAAGGCATCCTCTTTTACTCTTCCTTTTCCTCGTCTCCCACACTCTCCATCCCAAGCTCCATCCCATCCCTCCCCCCCCTACACCCACTTCCCCTCCATCTACCCCCTAAAGCACGCACAGCTCTTTGAGTTTCTTCAGATTGGCAAAGCTTGAAGGGAGGGCCCCACCCACGCCGTCCTCGCCTGTTCCAGCGATGTTGCTGCCAGGCCGTGTGCAAGAATATGGTAGAGGAATTCGCTTCGAGCGATTCAGTCGAAAGGGAGATGGTGTTTGAAATAGGAGGCGAATCCGTGATACACGGTGAGTAGAGAGGTCGAGGACGTTTCTAGCGAACACGAGGATGGAACAACGAGACGAGGATGCGTTCAACGACACGAGGTCGCTTACAGAGAGACGAGATTGGCAAGGCTGCCGAAGCTGGCTGGCACAGCACCTTCTAGCGGGTTACCACCAATGCTCCTGTCGTGCGGGCAACAGCAAGGGACATGGCCGGGGATGGGGGATGGGGGAGCATTGAGACAGCTTGACGCAGACATTAGGGGATGAAGGGTCTATGGATGGAGCTTGGCGTGACACGTGGATGGCGTATTGATTGGCAGATGCACTGAATGGCATCGCACGGCATAGCATGACACAGCACGGTATGGCACGGCACGGCATGGCACGGCACGGCATGGCGTGAAAGGTTGACTGACAGGTATGTGAGGGCGGTGAGTTGGCCGAGAAAGGCCGGAATGCGCCCCTCTATCCAACAGTTGTACACATCGCTGCACGCGAGAGGCGGGGAGAGGGGGGAAGCAGGAGCATGGATGAGGGAAGCGAGATGGGCGGGGGTGGGAAGAATGTGAGAAAGAAACAGAGAGAGAAAACCAGAGGGAGGTGAGAGGCAGGGGCAACGGGGAAAAGGGGAAAAGAGGCCAGCCTGGTACGGTTCAGATTGCTGCCCGTCCCACCCGCACAGTACTGCACCGCATTGCATCCTGCTGCACTCACAGGTGGCTGAGCTTCTTGAGCTTGGTGAACGACTGCGGCAGCGCCTTCACCTCGCTGTTGGAACTCAGATCGCTGTCGCGTAAAGTGTTGGGGCGAGGGGAAGACGACGGGCGGGGAGCGGTGAGGAGTGGCGAGGAGCGGCGGAGAGCGGCGGGGAGTGGCGGGGAGTGGCGGGGATTGGGAGGGAGCGAAGAGGGAACGGTGGGAGGGAAGGGAGGAGGCGACAACGCAGGGGGGTCTAGAAACTCCAAGAGAGAAATGCACGAGAACGAGGTAATTGGCCAGACGAAGCAAGCACAAGGGCCGGGATCAGCTAAAATAGGCTTCAGATGGGAGGTGCGAGACCGGAATGTGACCGGCTTAGTGTGTGGAAGCTAACAGGGTGCTCCGCTCACAGGCGTTGGAGCTGTTCGAGTGTGGATTGGAGGGTGAGGCAGGGTGGGAGGGGGTGAGGCGGGATGGGAATGGGTGAGGCGGGATGGGAACGGGTGAGGCGGGATGGGAACGGGTGAGGCGGGATGGGAACGGGTGAGGCGGGACGGGAATGGCGTTGGAGCCTGGAGGGGTGAGGGGCGAGGCTCACAGGCGTTGCAGCTGGTCGAGCGTGGAGAGCGCGTCGATGGGCCCCACGAGATTGGCAGACGTGGCGTTGCTGCGCGCGGAGATTCGGAGAAAAGGAATAGGGAAGCAAAGGGCGCGAAACACGGAGATACGGGGCGGAGGACACGCAAGCACGGGGCAGGGAATACAGAGGCACGGGAAGCGACAGGGGCAGACGATGGGATCTTTAATTCCGCGGGGAGGCAGAAGGCGCATCATGGGTGACGAATTCCTCGTTGCGTTTTACTACAGTAGTCATAAGCTACACTTCTGCTCTTCATCAAAAGTTTGGAGCAAAGGGATGAACATCATAGCAGGCAATGGCCACTATTGACACGTGATAGAAGCAGTGTTTTGAGGCGTCTCAAAACGCCATGGCGGGCATTAGAGGTTAAGAGTTGAGGTTGCGACCGCTGGTCACTTTTGACAAATTCTTAAAAGCGGCTCAGCGGACCTCAGGCTTCGGTCGCGACTCCGCTGCGACGCAGCGACGCACTCATCGTCGCACGGCACTCACATGGCGACGATCTTGCCCTCGGCGTCGCACGTCACGCCGCGGTACTTGGAGCACTTGTCGGGCGCGCCGCTCGCCGTCCACGACTTGAACACAAAGTCCTTGCCCGACTGCGCGCCGAGCTGACGGAGAACGTCCACTGACGGACGGAGGTGGACGGAAGGGATGATGGACGGGGACGGAAAAGGCGTCGTGAATGATGAGAAGGGCGACTAACATTGCTTCAAGAACTGCGCAGGAAAAAAAGCATTCCACCCAACGACGGACAGACACGTACGCTGCGAATTGAGGATGGTCGGATCGGACGACGAGGCCACGCGGATTGCGTCGCCTGTGGGGAGGAGAGTCGCGGCAAAGATTGCGATAACGGAGACGAGCGCCAAAAGCGCCAGCCGAGGCAGACGCGAGAGCGACGCGATCGAAGCCATCGCCTGAAGAAATCTCTAGAGTTACTGATGAAGGATTCAGGACCTCGTGGAGGACGGATGACGTGAAGATATGTCGAAGGTTAACCGGAAGTTGGCGACTATTAAGATGAAGTAAGGGTATGGCAAGTCGTTGCGGTGTTCAACCTAAGGGCGGGTGTAACGGGATAGTCGAACTCGGGTGATCGTACGGAGCTTCTGGGAATATCATATCGATAGCAGTGGTTTCTTTATACCGTACCGCTGATGTTCAGGCGGGAACAGTGTGAGGGAAGGCGAAATGGAGGGAGAGGGCGGACCTGTGGGGGTAGCAGCGCAAGCGACGGCGGGAGGTGATGCCTGGTTGGCTGCATCGATATGCATTTGCCTCCTGCTCGAAGCGCGTGTCCCATCACACAAGATTATCGAACCGCATGCCATCCCATCCGCAAGGCTTCTCGAGCCATCGCCGTCAAATTGGAAAGTTGTTGACCGCAGGCGACGGCGCTGCAGCACACCGCGATTATTGGTGCTTTGACTGGTGCAATAATCGTGTGACTGTTCTGCTGCTCACAGCAGTTCTGTACGGAGCATTTCGCGAGCAAAGTTGCGCATCCGTTACATTCATTTTAAAGCCCAAGACCTGAATTACTCAACGGAAGTCAACTGAGTATTTCTAGGTTCGGCGGGCTGCCAGTTGGAGGTTCGGATGGGTTGAGTGACAGGCGAAGCCTCAAAAACACTTAGCGACTGAAAGTAGTTCGCCACAAACTCCCTACATGCTGATTGGTTGTAAAAAGCAGGCAGGGCCCTTCTTCCCAAACTCGACAAACCTGAGAAGCAACGTGCCAGGGAAACTGTGCACAGTTTGAGCAGCCACACATGCACTCGAACAAACATATTAGTTGCTTAGTCCACTTCAGCAGGGCGCCACCTTAGATTCTAGAAATACGCGGAATAGCCGTAGGGAGCGAATGTCCGTGTGGACTGGACCAGCAAGTGCGATGCTTAGGGTGAGGATAGAGGAGGCTGTTACTAAATGCCAGTGCGGGCGTGAGTTAGCGAGACACATCGAGGCCTGAACTGGCGATTTATTCAGAGAGTCTAAAAGTATAGGCTAATACACAAACTGTTATAGTCACAATAGGCTTGAATGTGCCTAAAACGAAAGATAGAGAGCACAGACGGATTTCTGCACAGCGGCTTCAAACGTTGATAGCGTTCTGCTCACAGCTGCAAATGACTTGATTCAAATTGGATCTGGAGCGACTTCACGTCGTCTACAATTAGCAATTTAGATTGCACGATTTGATAAAGAATTGACGACACAGCGTCGGTTTGAACGAACGGTACTATGGCAGCCACTATAGTCTTAGAACACAAGATAAGAAGAGTTACGAGTTGGGAATGACTCCCAGCTCCTACAAACCCCAAGAGCCGAGGTACAGTGATGTGGAACAGTGCCACACTGTCCCCAACCACGAAGGGTCTCGAAACTACCCTTCACTAGGGCCTACACCAAGTGAAATGTTACACTACAAAAAGTAATGTAACTATCTTCAATATCTTGAGGTGTACCCTTTTGGCGAGCTTCGAAATCACTTGAGGCTTGACACCAAGGCTCGGGCTCTTCATCACAAACTCATCCTTGAGTTCTTGATGGGTCTGCTGCACACACCTGCGACACACCGAACGTTCGACACAGGACAAAATAGAAACCGCGCACGACAAAATAGAAACCGCGCGCGAGACACAAACGACCGCGTAACACGCGTCTAGCGATAACTCGCTATTGACTCGACACACACACTCGACATCATGACTCAACATTCACACACAATTATAAGCATGAAATATATATTATCCCATGCCCTCATACCATTCCATACACACACACATTCACGCACACGGACAACAAGCCGAGTGCAAACCGTAGGGTTGCACCAACAAACTCCCCCTCGGATTGTTGGCCTTAGGATATGTTGCTCTCTCAGTTCAGAGCCATTCCATCCAGCTTGCAACACTTCCAATGCTGCTGCTCCACCAGCCTCTTGGTCATCATGTCAGCCGGCTGCCCCGTGGTCTTCACGTAGCGCAACTCAACTTCACCCGCGGTTACCATGCTCCTCGTCCAATGCCACTTCACCCTCATGTGCTTCGTGAGTCCATGCAACACAGGGTTCTTAGCAAGAGCAATGGCACCCTGGCTGTCACAGTACAGTGGGGTAGGTCCTTGCTGCTCCTCCCCCAATTCAGCCAACAAACGCCGCTGCCACACAATCTCACGTACGGCACGGAAGAGTGCCATGTACTCGGACTCCACCGAGCTCAAAGCTTGGTCAACCTGCTTCTTGCTCTCCCAAGCAGTTGGGCCTCCACCAACACAGCATATGAAGCCTCCCACACTTGTCATGTCCTCTGGTTCTGATGCATATGAAGCATCCGAGTAGGCGGTGAGGAACAAACGCCCGGGTTCAACACCATCCGCGCCCTTTTGGCGCCTTTGTGCCGCCGCCGAGTATTGCAGCCCAACGGTCGGTGTTTGGCCAAGATACTTGGCCACCCTCATTCCAGCTGCTACCTGCTCCTCATTAGGGCATTGCACAACCCTAGCCAGCTGCCCGGTAGCAAACGCGACGTCCGGTCGGGTGTTTACCGCCGCATACATGAGGCTGCCCACCAACGAGTGAAATCGGCGCCTCTCCTCTTCACCAACGCTCTCCTCCTCTGGTCCCTTCACACACTTGAACCCAGAGGGAAAGGGTGTAGCCACATGGCCTTCACTCTGCCCAAAGTTGGCAGCCAATGCCTCCAGGTACTTTCGTTGATGCATCCGCATGCACCGCTTCTCCACATCTCGTTCGATGTGGAGCCCAAGGTAGAAGCTCACGTCACCAAGGGCCTTGCACTTGAACTTGTCTTGAAGCTTCAGCATCACCTCCTTCACAAGGTCAGAAGAGGGTGAGAAAATGAGGATGTCATCCACATAAACCACCATGAAACTCCTCTGCTCCCCCTCGCCAAGCATGAACAAGGAGTGATCGGCCGTTGAGGGAGTGAAGCCGATCCCCTCCAACACTTCGCGCAGCTTCATGTACCATTGCCTAGGGGCCTGCTTCAGCCCATAGAGGGCCTTCTTCAGCTTCCACACTCTGCCACTACCATCATCAAACCCCTCTGGCTGCGCCATAAAAATCTCCTCCTCAAGGATGCCGTTAAGGAATGCCGTTACGATGTCCATTTGCTTTACTACCCATCCTTTGATGGCGGCTCCCGCGAATAGGGTTCGCAGCGTCGTCGGCTTCACCACAGGGGCAAACAGCTCCTTGAAGTCCACCTTCTCCTTCTGCTGGTACCCCTTGGCTACAAGCCTAGACTTGTAGCGCTCGATCTTGCCGTCGGCATCCGACTTGATTTTGAAGAGCCACTTGGACGTTATCGCCGTACGCCCCTCCGGTAGCTCCACCAATTCAAACGTGTCATTCTCCTCGATGCTCTTCAGCTCACTCTCCATGGCCTTCTTCCACTCCTCAGCATCACTACTCTCCAAAGCCTCCTTGAGAGTTGCTGGTTCTCCCGGCATCTCCACCGGAGAGAAGAACGCGAAGGCACACTCCTCGTAGTCACTCTCCTCGTCGTCTCCGACCATCATTGCCGCTCCGGCCAGGGCTGTCTTGCCCTGCTTTCCCGGCGCATCATAGGTCAGCCTATTAGGGGGTTGAACTCTCCTCTTCCCCCTTCCTTCCTCCTCAGCTGCAGGGACTTGAAGGCCTTGGCGTTGCTGCGGTGTGGCTCGAATCCGTGGAGCACTCGTAGTACGGGAAGGGAGTGACGGTGCACGCTCGCTCACTTGCTGCACCTCCTCCTCTTCTTCCTCTGCATCATTGGCCTCCTCTCCCCCATTCACAAGGGAGGATTGCCTTGTGGTTGTGCTGCCGCTGCTCAGTTCCAAAGGCAGCTCCACATGCTCCAAACCGGAACTCTTCACCTCCCCAAACCGCACGCCTATCTTCGCCTCATTCTCCGCCTTCCAATCCTTGTACATGAAGTTCTCCATGAACTTGCAGTCCCTGCTCACCAAGAACTTCTTGGTGAATGGGTCCCAAAGAAGCCATCCCTTGCTGTTTTGAGCCATGCCCAAGTGCACGGCCCACACCGCCTTGGCACCAAGCTTGTTGTGCCGAAGATGCTTAGGCACGAGCGCCATGCACATGCACCCGAACACCCGAAGCATATCCACCTTTGGCTTCCTTCCTAGCCACTCCACATAGGGCACCCATTTGTCTGCTCCCACATGA